AGCAAACCCATCCCATTCTAGCACTGAAGATGTTACCTAGCCAGCTAATGAAACATTTGCAAAAAAAAACAACCAAGCTTAGAGAACCCCAAGGACTCCACAGTTCAACCCTGAGCTACACATATTCACTTCTATTAGAGCCAGTTTGGTGTAGTAGTTAAAGTGCTGGCCTGGAAACCAGGAGACTATGAGTTCTAGGCCTGCCTTAGGCATGAAAGCCGACTGGGTGACTTTGGGCCAGACGCGCTCTCTCAACCCAGCCAATCTTCTGTGATATCAGGCTGCATACAGTGACCAAGAAGCATGTGTGAATGGGCATGCTATATTGAGAATGCAGATTACTGTTTTCCTAAATCTATAAAGGAATTAACCTAACAAGGATTAGCATACATGTGTGGGTGGAGCATCTGTCTGTCTGTCTATCTGATTGGAGATGTCAACCTCTACCCATTTTTGGCTTCTATTTTATAAGATGCTATTAGGAAGTAGTGTTAGTGTAGCTCAGAAGCCAGATGAATAGTCTAAATACTGTACAGTATACATCTTCAATAAACTCATCTTGTATAGCATTATTGCCAGATAAGGGAAGCTTATGTAGAGGAAGTTTGTGTATGCCTGCTGTTTTTCCTACTCCCCATTTTTGTAGTTTCAATACGAACTGTTGAATTCATGGTCAAAACTAAGTTTCATGCTCCCATATTGGCAAATGGATGGGAGCTATTTTGTGGATGATCTGGTTCCCAAGTATTAAATTTTGAGTTTTACAGTCATTTCTCAATTCAATTTTATTTTGCTGCAGGGAATTCATCATTGATGGCTTATCAGTCGAGAGAAACCATATTCTTGTTAGAATAAGTCATGTTGGGGGTCCAACAGAACGGATCTTGCCTCCAAGAATAATGCATAAGGTTGTAAATGTATTTGATGTTTTCCTTTTCATCTAACTTCTTTGTAGGTAACTGTTGCAATTGGCCTTTTTTTCTTTTATTTAATCAATGGTTTCTTTAAACTTCTGCTGCTCTTCTGAATAGCTTCAGAGAATCCCACAGTATAGCAGTAGTTCTCATAAATTCTTAGTTTATGCCCCAGATATGCATTACTTACTCAGTATTCGGGTTTATGTACCAATTATGTATAAGATATTAATCTCCCAAAGTCAGAGACCCCAGCTGCTGAGTATGTACCACAAACCTACCACTATTCCAAGAAATCCATATGGATACCTGCTTTACATACATGAATTTTTATATTTTATTGCACTTCATTTCATTTTGATTAACTTTTTAATTTAATTTTATTTAATTAGCTATAGAATTGATAGACTTTCAATCTAAA